TATTCCAGACAATAATCTCACACAGCCCTGCCGACAGCAGCAACATTACTCTAAATAGCGGTGTGGGGAATAAATTAATGTGAAAACAGCCATGGCTAACATTTTACCAGATATATAGCTTCCATCATGTAACTAAGGACTCTACTGCTAGCTTATTACGTATATAACAAGTAACATAATCAGGTGACGTTCAAATAAACGACTCATAACTAATGATATGTAAAAGGGTTAATTGATTTGCTTCGAATTGTTCGTTTGAGCTGTAAGTAAATGTTAATGTAATAAATAACTGATTCATAGTTAACGTTGATCTCAAAAAATCTAACGTTAGTGTTGCAAAATAACATTACCACATTTATATATTAAAAAGCATTTAAACCTTGTGAAGTATAGTGTCAATAACAGATACATAATTATTACCTTGACTATGAGCTGCTAACGACCATAAACTGGTAACAAAACGGCAGCAGGTTCCAACCTCCACCATACAGCACCGGGGGTTTAGAAGCGACCTCTGCTAACGCAGAGTAGCATATAGCATTAGCATGCGCTAACTCGGTCACGTCGAGATAGGCAGGAGTGGTTTCAGCAACACGTCACCTCAGCTCCACCCACGACACACCTTTTTTGGTTGTCCTGGAGTGACATGCCATGATGCGCTGCCAAGATGGCGACGACCGGCTCTGCCCAATTTGGGCTTCAAAACTGCTCTTCAGAAACCACGGACACTACATCCATTTTTACATACAGTCTAGGATGTTGACTGAACTTTGACCTTTAACCAAAACAATTACTTAATAGGTGACATCACTGATTTGTGTCCTAGTGTCACCTACTATTACTGGTACAGATATCATTTTACTATACCAACTTGGAGAGATTATACTGTAAAAACAGTAAAACCTTATATTTGTACCAGTGATACTACAGGACACTAGGAAGGAGATGATATGACAACTGTGATGTCACCTGTTAAGGAATTGTTATGATCAAAGGTCAAAATTCAGAGACTGTCTGTATAATTTTCACTGTTGGAGGGATTTTCAGAGTGTGATTTCTCTAAGTTGGTACAGCAAAATGTTATAATAGGAATAGTAGTGGACACTAGAAGGGAGATGATGTGACAACAATGATGTCACCTATTAAGGAATTGTTTTGGTCAAATGTCAAAGATCAGTCAAAGTTTCAGTCTGTGTAATTTTTGCTGTTGGAGGGATTTTAGAAGAACTCACTAGGAATTAGAAGCTATGACAACAGTGAACTGCTGAGGAATTACATTGCAGAACGGTCAAAGTTCACATAAATTAAATTAACAAAATAACAAAGAAAAGGTACATTTTGCAATTGTACTAATATTATTATAATTAATAATATTAATAATAATAATAATATATACCGTGGTATGTAGTTGTGTTAAAATAATCACAGAGCATCACAAAAGAACGCGTATGTATCTTTCAGGACCTTCGGCTCGCTCACAGCCCTACTTTACCATAATAACACTGCTGTGGGCGCAACAGAAATCAGACGGCGGCTGACTTGACCACGGTTTCGCATTCCGCGGCTACCTTACCGCAGTGACTGCTGCTATGGAACGTTTTCTGAGCAGGAGTGAAAAGAGGAAAAAGGGGGAGGGGGAGCTGTTTGTTGCCCAGGCTGCACCTACCATACAATCAACAACAGATCAACCATGTCCAGTAAAAATATTTAAAAACACAGGCAGTGAGCTCGTCCCCACAATAAACCCTGAGACACTTGTTAGGAAGTGTGGCTCAAATCGACCACTATTGTGAAAGTTGAGACCGGAAGCGCCTGCATGTTGCTGCGCAGTGTGACAGTGGCTGGGGACAGGATGCTGTCAGGCCAAACAGACGCACCGACCTAACGGGGAGAAACCGCAGCAGCATCTTTGCTTTCTGAAACTGGATATCCAGGTAAGGACGGCTAGCTGGCTTAGCTGTGATGCTAACCTGGCTGCTTGCCATACTAGAATGATGGAAACGTTAATGACGCCGTTAACGAAACGAAACCTGTTTTTTCTTCATTTCCAATCATGTCGAAAATATGGCTATTGTTCGGCATACTGTCCTACAGGCAGCAGCTAAAGCACATTCATTTGACGAGATATTTGACCGTGTCGAGGCCATGCCAGCGGGGGTTGTGTGGTATTATGTTGTAGACGGCTGTTTAGACGAGTTTTCGTGTGGCGTTACAGAGGTAGCTTCCAGCTCAGGAGCACGAGACACGCGATTGCATCCATGGCTGTGCTGCTGTATCGGTGGTGGTATGGCATTGTATTGCACCACCAGCACGCACGCACGCACGCGCGCGCGCAAGTGTAGTTTGTGTTTGTGTCAACCATAGGTGTCAACTTGTAATGTGCAGTTCCTGACAAATCCAACCCGCGCTGACCATGTGGACGCTCTGTTTCGCTGTAAGGGATTGCATTTCCATTTTCAGGGGTGTTGGACGTGCAAGCGTTTAAAATGTGTGGTTGACTTTTGTCTCCAGTCTTTGCTCATACAGTCCTGTGTGTTTCTACTTTTAATTCTTAATGTGACAGTTATTTGGTTGTGACCAGGGCTGAGTACTAACCGTGGCCTTAGAGGTCCATCCATAGGTGGTTAGAGAGTCTGCCCAGGCAATGGATAATTCCTGGATGGCTGCAGCTTGTGATCATTTATACAATCAAATCATTGCTTGAAGAGGATAAAAAATAGGTGTCAGCACTCTCCATTCACATGTCCCCCCCTCCACAGTATGAATTTGTGTAATAATAAGAATAATTTAATTACAAAGTATAATGTTAGTATAATATTATATATTTACAGGTCACAAGATCGAGTTTTTGTAGCATTTAAACAGCTTATTAGTTGAGATTCATCAATTCATCTGTTTCACATTTTATGATATTACATTCCTGTGGTTAAGGTTTGATTAGGGCCAATGTTAGTGTATTCATTATAATTTCAGATTTTGGTATAGACTACTAATATAGTTTAGCACTATTAGGCTACAATATTAAGAGGTGGTATTATGCTCATTTTCAGTTTCAAAATCCTTACATGGTTTAATTTTCAAAAACCACCATATTTATTGTCATACTGCACATTGCTGCAGCTCCTCTTTTCACCCTGTGTTGAAGGCTTCGTTTTAGCTATGGAGTGATACATCTTGTCTCTAAATGATCTTTGTTGAGAGTTGCACATGTGCAGTTCCTAGTTAAGTACTACTAGCCAATCAGAAGCAGAGAAGGGCGGGTCAGCGAGAAGCAGGTAAACAGCTTTGATTCAGCTGTAGGCTACATGTTGCCGACCAGCTTGGCAACAAAGACTGGAGCAAGAGTTTCAGAGTGGTGAGTTATTAATCTGTAACAAAAGGATCTTTCATCCATAAAGTTTTAACTGAGCTCTGTCTCTACATCACAGGAACAACTTTATGTCCACTGACTGCCTGGAGGGTAGCTAGTGTTTGGAAGGGAGAGGAGAGCTGTGTGCTGCAGCTCAGTGTTTTTCCACCGCTGTTTTTGAGGGCGTGTCAGACTAGCCGCTTGGCGAGCATTATATGAGGCGCATTTAGAGTTTTCTGTGGCAGATGGGAACTCCCTATGGGGTTGACTTTGGGCTTTTTCACTTTGCAAACCTATTGCATGCACCAAAAAGGTATATAACTCAATAAAGGAGAGGGAAAAAGGGAAAAAGCATAATACCACCTCTTTAATACCAGTTGGACAATATTTTATATGTTTTATTTTGGTTGTTGTTTTTATTCGTTAAATTATTATGCAAGAAAAATGCTTTACATGGTGGTCAGTGTCTGAATAATGCTAATGCTAAGTACTAACTTGTATCATAATATTCATGCAGAACAACAAGTTCAACATTTCAGTTCAACATACAAGTTTGCTGATTGCTGTCAACATCAGCGTCACTTTGTGATGAAAAGTGGTGGAACATAAATGCTCAGATTAGGGATGTGATGATACACTTGGGTCACGAGACCAAGACAAGAGTATGTTTGATATTATTTTATATTTTACCACTATTTTGAAGAAAATTTGATGCTGAAATGAATGAAGGGGTCCTCCAC